AAAGGTGATAAAGTGGGCAATTATTCATTTAACAAAGTGATCATTCAGTAAGTTGGTTCTTGGTGCCTTAGCCATTCTGTAACTTACCCACACATACTGAATTGTTTCTTTTTTTATTCTTTTCTAATCAGTCACACGGTAATGCAACAAGATGATTGATATTTCACCCAGCTCCTTCAGGATGCCATGTCTTTTTCACTTTGTACCCCCAGAACTTTGCACAGTATGTTTCATCTTCTGAAAACTTTAAAATGTAGACAGATAACTAAACAAATGAATTTGTAAAAGACCTTTACTCTGCCTTAACCCAAATACGTTTCTGTCTGCAGGCTAAATACCAAGGAAACTGAATCTAAATGAGTGAAGGCCACAGGAAAAAAAAAAAACCTTTCTTGCACATTTTACACTTGATATCAATGTTTGTATATACATAGCCTCATAAATAATTTGCTTACAACCCATAAGGCTAATATCAAGCTTTAAGAAACTACTCAAATATGGAGCTTGAGAAAAAATTATATTAGGTTGACTATTTAAGTTAAAATTGAAGCTTTATTGGGCAATTCAAATTCTTTTTATGCAAGAGATTTTGTTATACTTGAATTTGCCTTGTAGATTTATTTAATAAGTTGCATTCACAGAAAGGATTGGGCAGAATATTCCCTGTATGTGTAGTAAAGACTGTCTGTAGCCACTATTTGTTATTGTTACCATGTAGAATTGTTTCTTTGTATCCACAACCCATGGTTAGTCAAGATTGCCCCACAAAGCTAAAACATACCACCTTGGCAGGATATGCCATGGCTAAATCTGCTTCAAACATGTAAATCCATTTCCTGCTCTATACTGTTGGACCTCCCCATATTCAAAACTAGATCTGTAGTTACTCCCCAGACTTATTCTTCCTCTTGAAATCTTGACCTCAGGGAACTAGACTGGCCTTCAATTCCTTATTTCCCTGCTTCCTTTTCTGTGAATTCATAGAGAAGAGACACAAAGAGTTAAAGAGATAAAGTATCAGCTTCGTTGGTATTTGCACCGTTGTCTCAGAAAGAATTCTGGATTTCCCAGAATAAAAGAGGATTTTAATCCTGGAATCCAAAATATAGCATCATGCTCCTGCCCCCTAGCATTGAAGACAACTTGGCACAGGAGGAACCACCTAATTTACCCTCTTAGTCTCAGGCTGTGGACATTCTATTCAGGAAGGGACTTCCCATCTAGAGATCTGAAGGCCAAGGTACACCAAGCCAAAACAAAGCCAAGTCCAAAAAGATGGGGAAAAAATGTATTACACATGAATCTTCAAAGTCACCCAAAAAAGATAGATCTGACTTCTGACTCAGAACCTGGTCTATCCAACTAGGCAGATGAGTCATTCCTCCACCTGAACTCAGGACACTATGCTCTTGGAGGGAGAATCAATAAATGCACTTTCTCATCCAGGGCAACAAAAGTCACCTCTTTGGAACCCTGTAGAATGGAGAAGTAAGGATCCCTGTTTTAACACTCTGCCATGTTTCTAGTCATCCAAGCCAATTACTTGTTCACAGATTTGAACTACATCTTTGTCCTCACTTCCTTATCATTCTCTATATTCTATCAATCACCAAGTCCTGAAGTTTTATATCTTACATATTTCTCCACACACTCTTTCTCATCATCTATGTCTACTGGATCCCAGATCTAACCTTCATCCTTTGCCAACACTATGGTAGCAATCTCCTAACTCCTTCTGATTAAAGTCTTGTTCTATTTCTAATCTAATCTCTGCACTTGCAGCCAGAGTGATAATTCTGAAATTCAATTCTGATTGTCATCTTCTGACAGCTTCCTATTAAGTAGAGGATAAAGGCCAAGCTCCTTAGACTGACTTATAGAATCCCTTATAAGCCTACTACCTTTCCAAACTCATCTGCCCCTTTTTCCCTGTTCTACATTCATTCCAGTAATATTAAATACTTGTCATTTCTGACAGTCACCATGCAGTTGCAAGTCTCCATCCCTTTCTTCATGTGATTAACTCCCTGTCTCATTTGGTTAACTCTATCTCAACTTTGAAAATTCTGTTTAAAACATTTTTCTTCCAGGAAACCTTCCCTAACCTCAAGCCTTCTTGTACACTGCCCTGCTCCCATAGGTTTAAGAGATTATCCTTCTTCTGTAATCACTCTATGATTAGCTCCATCTTTGAGTCTTTGTGTTAGATGTGTGTCTTCCTATCAGACAGGCAGCCATATCCTAATAACTACAGTTACCAACATTCAAGATAAGTTGTCAACCTAAACTGAACTCTGCTCTTCTAAACCACGGATTCAGTCATTAACTTATCCATTAATTCAGTAGTCATTTACTGGTGAACTTTTTGGGGGTAGGTCCCACCCCCATTCACCCACTTATATTTTGTTTGATAATACTCTAGTTTCCCAGATGCCCTTGGCTTATGTGGAAACCAATCATTTTCCCCCTCTAGCCATATTCCAGAGCATATGAAAAGCATTTGCTAACCATTTCCAAATTGTGATTTGTTTTTAAATTACCCATTTGAATCATTTTTATATGCTTCTTTTTCTGGTGACATAACTGACTGATTATGCCACTTCTCTTTTATGGGGTAGATTGACATAAGTGATACTTTGTGGCAGCCTTATAATCTTGAACTTGGAGACTATTGCTTGCTCTTTGCTGACTTCCATTGGAAGGGAATCTAAATCTCAATGGACACCTTCAGAATTAAATATATTTTAATAAATAATATCAAAGTAACATAACTTTACTATTTTACAAAAGGTCTTTGAAGTTATGTAACACTCAACCTGTCTTATCTTCTGCCCAATTCTTCCTGCCCACTAACTTTAGCTGCTAATGGACACTGCTTTTTTTTTTTTCATTCAGGGTCAAGTTTAAAGGGCTTTGATATAAATCCAACATTTCCCAAAGATAATCTCAAAAAAGAATAGGGGAATTTAGAAAGTGGGTGGTGACCAGCCAATGATAGTCAAAAGTAGGGCAGGCCAGTTAGTCCAGGGGAACTGAACTTGGGAGTTAGACAATAATGAAAGATCTGGGTTCTTGGGGTTTCTGGCAATGAGAATAATGGGAAACCAAGAGTGGATGAGGGTGGGTAGCAGTCAAGAAGGACAGGGTCATTAAAAGATAAGGAATACCTATTCAGTTATGATTCTCCCACTATGAGGCTAAGCTTCAAGGAAATAGTATGAGTAAGAAATGCATAATTGCCTCATGAAGAGAACTTTAATATAGTAAGGCAATTGGTTAATTTTATACTCCAGTAAGTAGATTAATTCTCTACCATAAAATCTTTTGGAAATATATTAAAGACATACATGCTTTCCTACCTCTATAGGAAATCAAAATATTTAGTATCCTGCTCAGAATGAACCAGTGAACCAGGACAAATGTCAATCATAAACCCCAGTAAAGCCATCTTGGAGCACAAAGTGATTTAGAAATCCTTGATATTCACACAACTGTACAAATAACAAGGATCTCTTTCTTCCCCTGCAAATTTCCACACTAGAGACTACTCTGGTTTCTTTTCTAAGCAATAAGATTAGTGATGAAAATTTTAGAGGATCATTGGGAGTTATGCTTTTGTATATTGACTTTGTGCTGAAAGTTTTAAAAATGGCATAAGAGCTTCATTCTCCATTTTTCAACCTTCTCCTTGTCCTCCTCTCTGTTCCCAATCCCAAAAGGTGACAATTCCCCTTCTCTTACAGCTCCACAGTTCAAAGCTCCTTTCTCACAACAGAAACTGAAGGACATTCCCCAGCTGCTCCTTGGTTGCCTAACCTGCTAGACTTCCTGAGTATTATCTTTCTTTCCATGCTTCTGAAGGATCTCTCCAAGCGTCCAACACTCCCAGCTTCTTTATTGCCTTCTCCCTCAAAACTTGCTTCAACTCCAATCCCCCAGTCACAAGCTTTATATGTTATACATTTCCTTGCCATTATCTCCTTTAGAAATTCTTTAAAGAATATAACACTTCTTGGGTGTGTTGATGTCATAGAGTTGTGGCTCCCAACCCATTTTTCAATGGGAACATTTAGTAAATACTTGATTCATGGTAGTGATTCTCTTTGATAATTTACGATTTCATTTCATTAACAATTATTAAGCCATTTATAGGAAAATTTTCCACTTTATAAGAAATTGTGAATAAAAAAGGCTGAGTTGCTGCATACTGATCACACAGCAACTAAGCAGTCATCAAGTTCTGATCTTGGGAGACAGCTTAACCACAGTCTCATGTACTTTCTTACCCATTGTTGCAGCTCTGATATAAAAACCAAAGATTTGAATAAAATCATCCAAAGTTTTGGCACACTGATTGGACTAATAGTTTTCTAAACTCCCTTTTGTTTACATATTGAAGGAAAAAATATGTTACTTATAAATCTTTACTTACAAATACTTTACTTAAAAAAATAGTTTACTTATAAATCTCAAGTCAACAGAGCTCTAAGCAACCTTCAGCTTGAAGAAAATGTTAACAGAAATAAGTTCTGTCAATTACTACTGCAGGAAAAGAAGGCATTATATTGATAGATTCTTAATGTATGTTGCCATTTATTTGAATAAATGTATTATGTATTCAGAGAGTATGAAAAAATCAAGTCATATGGGGGTTAAATGGCAAAGACAACAAACCCAAAGCATTATTTTAAGGGTTGAGGGAATTTCTTTCTTTCATTAGAAGGAAGGGGAAGACATTTGCAGTTGGACATTGGTCCCACGTGAAAAGGGGGGCTTGTTTCTCCTCAGGTTGGAGCACATGTGAGTGCTCACATGCACTAGTGTGTGGGGGCGCAGAGGGGGCAAATGGTCACAATCCAGTTCCAATTGCATTCAGACAGCTGGAGGGCTCCCCTAAGCTACTCTGCCATTGCAAGGCATGGGCAGAAACCTATCCACACTCTGGGGGCATGCTGACTAACTGTGAACTTCATGTAAGACTGTATTATTTTCAACCTCAGAAATATTTACCAAAAAATCAGGGACCATGACCTCCTGGACAAAAGGAAAACTGTCACGGCACTGAAGGCAGGAGAGGACCGTGCCATTCTCCTGGGACTGGCCATGATGGTGTGCTCCATCATGATGTACTTCCTGCTGGGAATCACGCTCCTGCGCTCATACATGCAGAGGTAATGCCACTGCGTGGTCGGAGACTGTCAACTGTCCTTCTTCCTCCACCCCCACAGCTTATCGTACCTGAGGCACTCTTCCGCCCCCTCCTCCCTAATGAGAACTTTGAGCAGCCTGGCATATCATATTTTTCAATGATGTTATCTAATAATTATGATAAGAGTAACTTTATGTATAAAATGCCTACTATGTGTCAGGGACTTCACCTACATTACTTAATTTTCAGAACGTCTGTGGAAGGTAAGTATGCATATACTCTGTGGAAATAGCAAAAATGATGTTCACGAGAGAGATAATTTGCTCAAAGTCACACAACTCTAGCAGAGAGCAAGGCTAAGAATTAAACCCACATCCTATCAACTCCAGAATCTGTTTTGTTTCTCAGACTTCAGTCCATTTTCTATGCTCATTCCTTTCCCACTCCGCCTACTTTTCCATCATCACACGTCAGTTGTTCTCAACAGCACTTTTTTTCCCAAATTTTATCAATCATCAGCCATTTATGGAACTATATAATTTAGGGAAGACAACTTCACCCCACATATGTGCAAGTCACTCACCCCCACCAAACCCCAATGCTGATGTCCGATCCCCAGCCTTCCCCTATCTCCTCCTTTCACCCCTATTCCCTCCAGTAAGCAGTATACTTTTCACAGAGTCTATGAATTATTAATTCTGTGCTTTGCCAGTTTCTTTTCTTTGGTTATAGTCCACAAATGTGTGAAGGCATCCAGTAGCTGTCTTACACTCTGACCAATCTCTCTTAGCATAATCACATCAAGGTCTATCCATTTTGCTCCAAAAGGCACTATTTCATCTTGTGAAATAACTTAGTGTTCTATTGAGTGTATCTTCCACAATTTCTTTATCTAGTCATTTGTTCACTGGCATTTAATTAGGATCGATGTCTTGGCTATTGTGAATAATGCTGTAATGAACATAGGAGTGCATAAATCTTGTCATACTTGTTTCCATATTCATTGGGTAAATGTCTAATAGTGGTATTGTTGGATCATATGGGATTCCTACTTTTGTTTCTTTAAGTAATCTCCAAATCACTTTCATAAAGACTGTGCCAAATTAAATTCCCAGCAGCGGGTAACTGTTTTCCACATCCTGGCCAATATTTGCTGTGTCCATTCTTTCTGATTTAGGTCATTCTCACAGGGGTGAGGTGATATCTCATTGTGGTTTTGATTTCTATTTCCCTTATAGTAAGGGATGTTGAGCATTTTCCATGTGCCTGAAGGCTAGCTGAAGGTTTTCTTTGAAGAAATGGCTGTTTAGGTCCTTTGTCCATTTTTATTGTTTTATTGTTGTTGACTTGCATGAGTTCCTACATATTTTGGAAATGAACCCCTTGTGTGATATGCAAATATCTTCTCCTAGTCTGTAGTTTACACTTTTTATTTTGTGATGGTTCCTTTTAAGGTATAAAGCTTTTTAGTTTGATATAGTCCCATGTTTATTTTTGCTTTTTTTTCCTAAAAAATAAAAAATATCAATGTCCAGGCCCTACCACCATCACTGGTCACATTTAATTGGTGTCGACTGGGGCCCAGCGACCAGTAGCTTTTACTCTTCCCCAGATGATTCTATCATGCTGTCCAGGCTGAGAAACACTGCTGTGTATCAACTTTATTAAAAATAACAGATTTTAAACACTTTTATTTTAATGTTTGCCCTGGGTTTACTGAATAGCTAGGGAGGCTATTAAATCCTGAGATAGCAAGTGTATTCTCCCCTGAGTAAACCATGTGATAAATCCCCACTGCATCTCTAGCCAACTGTTGCCCATAAATTGGACACTGGGAGCAGAGGAGAGCCCAGCCCCACTGTAACTAATGGGGAAAGTCTTGCAGTGACTCGGCTTAAAGAAATGAGGCCCTGTCAAATGAAAAATTGAGGTTTCAATCCAAAAGAGAATTGAACCATTTTGTGACATTCACTTCTCCACCTAAATTAATGCTTTCATTTTAGAAGCAAAATCTCACTGAAGTACAGTAATTTGCTAAAATTAAAGCATCATCTTTCCCATTTGTGGCTGCTCTACACTGTTTCTTGATGCTTTCAGCTGTGCTCCTTCTCAATGAGCGTTGATGCCTCGCCCCAGTGCTCACTGATTCCAAAATGGCTTTCAGATCCTCACATCTGCTTAGAACCATCTAACGCTTTTTTTTTCCCTCCTTCAATAAGCAAAATCTGACCATCTTTGTCTCATGAAAATACAATTTGCCACACCAGGGCAAACAAGCTAGTATCCTGGCTGTGGCTTAAAACTATTCTTGAAATGAGCCCTGTCAATGCATGTCCTGCAAAAGGAAGAGAAACTAATCTGCAAAGAAAAACATAATGGCTTCTGATCACCATGGTAACCAGCTTATACCCAGAAGCAAACATTGACTTCTGGTGTGTTACTTCCTAGTCACAAATGTTGCCCTTGATCATAAAATTCTAAGTGTTTTAACATGTAAAGCTCACCAATGGGCAGCTGGAGTCCTGTGTGTGTTTTTTATAATCTTCCTAAGTGAGAGGACCCAGGGAATCATTAGTCTGCACAGAAGGGCCTCTTTTCTTTTCCCTTCTTTTCCTTTTTAGGAAATAAATTTTTATTAGGCCCTGTCACAAGAACTTTACATCATCACATTTAATCCTCACAGTAGCATATTTACTATGACTACCTCCAGATATAAGTAAATTGACCTACGTCACAAAGCTCAAAAATGAAAGAACTAGGATTTGAATCCAAAAACCTAAAGTCTGCTTTCAAATACTAGTATGTCTAACAGTATAGAAATATTGCTCCATGGGTGTCCAGAACAAGAATAAATAAAATAAGCGAGTGTGAATCTCATTGTGAAATTTCTCAATTTAATCATGCCTCTGTCTGCTCTTATATTCCCAGGCTTGCCTTAAAATATACAACAAATTCTGACTCAAACAGAACCTTATAATTATCCAAACTATTTTTTTTCATTGAAATTGCATTATAATAGTGCATTATAACAATATACAGTTTCAGGTGTGTCCTTTGTGTTCATGGGGAGACAGCTCAACATCATGGAGTGAGTCTGGGCCTTAAAAAAACACAGGATTGGATGGATCCCATCACTTACTAGTTGCATTTATTTGCATGTTACTTAATTTCTCTGACCCTTCATTTCATTCACCTTTATAAAGAATTAATACTCAACTTATAAGGTTGCTGGGAGGACTAAAGAAGAGAATGCATGTAGAGTACCAATTAGAGTGAAGAGGGATGAAACAAATGATTGCCCTTGGTATAACCAAATAGTATCCTTTCTCCCTTATTAGAAAGACCTTAAAGTAATATCAATATATCACTGTCTTTTCATCTGTCAGTTTGGATCTCTAGCCCCTCCATGTCTTAGCCATCTTCTCATCCCTTCTCCCTTACACCTACTTTGCTTATAAACTGTTAAACATTGCCTGGTAAGAGCCTGGTAGGAAACTGCTTACAATTAGAAATATAGAGTGAGTACTTATATTTTTGCCCATCATTGAATTTGTTTGTTTCATTCTTTTTATTGTGGTAACATTAGGATTCTATCAGGTATCATCACCATAGAGTACCTGACACCAAATCACCCATAGTCCATCACCATAGTCCATTGTGCTTCCTTGTTGTTCTGTAGTGAGTTTTCAAGGCTTAGCTTTTAAGGTTGTCTTTCTCTGGTTCTTGGTTTAGTTTCTCTATATTCCACTTAATAGTGACACCATCTGGTATTTATCTTTCTCCTTCTGACATACTTCACTTAGCATTATCTCTTCCAACTCCATTTGTGTTGCTAGAGGAGACATAAGTTTATCTTTTTTGATAACTGTGTCACATCCCAGTGGATATATATACCACCTCTTCATAATCTGTTCATCTGTTTGGGGCATTTAGGCTGTTTCCATATCCAGTCAATTGTAAACCATGCTTCAGTCAACATAGGAGAGCGTGTTTCCTTTCAAATTAGTATTTTTATGTTCTTTGCATAAATATCAAGGACTAGAATTGCTGGGTCATATGGCAGATCCATTTGAAGTCCTTTAAGAAAACTCCATGCTGTTTTCCACAAGGGTTGGATGAGTTTACCTTCTCACCAACAGTGTAGGAGGGATCTTTTTTCTACACATCCTCACCAGCATCTATTGTTTCTGGTCCTTTTGATATGGGCCATTCTCCCAGGTGTGATAAGGTATCTAATTGTGATTTTAATTTGCATTTCTCTGACAGTAAGTGATGATGACCATTTTTTCATATGCCTGTTGGCCATATGTATATCTCCTTTGAAGAAGTACCTATTTAGTTCTTCTGTCAGTGAACTTAATAAGGGAAAATTGTATCTTAAATGAAACATTAGAGAACATTATACTACATCCAAAGGAACTCATTGAAAAATCTCAGGTACCAGGCAAAGTCTACCTATATTTATATTTTAGTTTGCCTGAACCTCTAATTCAAAGGCATAAACTTTAACAGATAGAATGTATTGTAGATTTAAAAAGGTTCTTCAGATTAAGGAGTTGACCTCTGATTCCCTTTGATTATGTCTTCCTAGCCATTAGCATCAGGCCTGTGTTTACTCTCCCTCTTTCTCTGCAGTGTTTGGACCGAGGAATCTCAATGCACCTTGCTGAATGCAACTATCACAGAAACATTTAATTGTTCCTTCAGCTGTGGTCCAGACTGCTGGAAACTCTCTCAATATCCCTGCCTCCAGGTGTATGTTAACCTGACTTCTTCCGGAGAAAAGTTCCTTCTCTACCACACTGAAGAGACAATGAAAATCAATCCAAAGGTAAGAGCTTGGCACCCAGACAATGGGTTTTGGTCACCACTGCAGTGCTCCCAGAGGCAGCTCAGCACTCTCTGCAGTTCCCCTGTGTCAGTATTTCAAAAGAAAATGTCACTAAAAAGTAGGCCCTGCCTCATACACTCACAGAACTCACTATTGACTCTTACTTGGAAAACATTTATCTTCTGTGCTTATTGTGGACAAACTATTGGCCCATTTTATGACAGTGCAGATTTAGCCTTTACTTCCATCCCAAAGGGTAAATATCAAATCCTTATTTATACACAAGTGGACCAAGTCTTTCAAAGCAAATGTGCAGCTTAGTCAGAGTTATACAAGCCACATAATCAGGTATTTGTCATATCATGGGAATCACGCAGTAACTGTATTTTGATTTCTCATGGTCATTGTCACTTAGTTCTATACTCCAGGGATATAACTTAATCTCAGTGAAGCTCAGCTTTTTTTCTCTAAAACTGTAATTATAAAGACCATTGCAAGAATTAGGGCAGAATTCATAAAGTGCTAAGCAGAGCATGGTGTCTAGCACAAGAGAGACCTTCAGTCATTGATCACGGGACTTGTTGGTGTGTCTTTCTTCATATACTTTATGTTTATAGAGACTGAATTTTCCAAAACCAATATATTTAAGTCCACATGGTGAATATTCAACAAATGTGTATTTTTCTTAAAGCTGCACCTAAAATTTGCATTTTTAAGGTCTGGAGTAACCAAGCAAGTCTCAGCAGAAACAACCTGCCATTATCAATTTTAAGTTAAATATTTTGTGTATGGACTTTTGGTGGCAATTTAAGTGATCAATGTGTTCTCATGCATCAACACAACCTGGTGACCCCCTCCAATAAGACAACTGACCCTCATCAACAGGGTGCAACCCTCATGAAAGTAAATCCTTTTGGTAAAAGCATTTCATTACAACTATCAGCACATAAATGACATAGATTACATGTCCTTGAAAAAAAATGCAGTCTTGAAGTTTGATCCTAGAAATTGGGATTTGTCTTGCGACATATTAAACCAAACTAAGGAAACCCATGTTAGATCTTGGTTACAGTAACTTAAAAATATTCCTGCAAATATCGCTGAAGGATCAACTTAATGAAGATTTCAGAAAATGTCATTTTAAAATATCTTCTCTGATTTCCTTGTATTTGTGGACCACAAATAATACCAGTTCTAACACTGCTCTGAAAAATATAAAGCTTAGCTCTCCCACAAAGTGTTTGTTGTTCAATATATTCCCTCAAGTCAGATTTTTAAATCAATGCTGTCATGATAAATATCTATAAAACTCTCAAGTCTCAATGGGATTGGAAATCAGCCAAAGTTGAATAGGCACCAAAAAGTGAGACATGTTTCCATTTCCTCATCCTGGCATTTTATTACCATAGCCCTAGGAATGCATTATTTAGGTTTTAAACACAAAGGGAACCTACCATAGACAGTCACAATCAAAAATTTAGCACCAATATCTTGTCTGCTGTCAACATGATACTGGGCCATTGTTTGCTTATTTGTCCCATTACCTTGTTTTTAACTGTGAATTATAACACACATGCAAGAAGTGAAGTGTATAGCTCAAGCATTTATTACAGAGACCTGCCTGTAGCCACACCAAGGGTAAAAAGAAATTAAATATTTCTTGTACCTCAAAAACATCCTTCATGCCTCCTTTCCAATAATTACAGACTCTGCCTCCTGCCAAGGAGCAAATCATCCTAACTATTACAATAATTACTTTCTTAATATTCTTTATTATTTCATCCCCTAGGCATAAATCCTTAAAACACCGTATTTTTGGTTTTCCTGGTTTTTAAAATTATATAAATGGAATCATTCAGAACATTTTCCAACATGTTGCTAGACTCATTCCATTTAGTGGTAGTTCATTCATTTTTATTTCTTTGCCATATCTTGTTGTAGGAATATACCAATTTATTTATTCTTTCTACTGTTAATGGACATTTTTAAGTTTTCTATAGGTTGGGGCAAATACAAATAATCCTACCATAAATAGTCTTTATATTCTTAGTATATATCTCTTGGTGTATAAGCACAAACATTTTGTCAGGAATAAAACTGGGAATGTAATATTTAGATCATAGGGCATACACATTCTAACATTTAATGGTAATATCACATGGTTTTCTGAAGTGCCTGTACCAATTTATTTACCTACCAACCCTGCAAGTACTAAAGTTTTATAGCTATTTCTTCCTCATATTCTTTTTTTACATGGCATAGTACTACATAAATGGTATCTTATATACAGTTATGATGAGAAGACAAGTATTTGGGATTGACAATAAGTATAATAAAGTAGCCATTTATTTGCAACTCAAACTCAGAATCAGGCCCTATTTTGTCACCTTTTCTGAAGAATTCATATTCCCTTAAATCCATAGGGTGTATATATATATATATATATATACATATATATATATACACACATACACACACACACACATATATATATATATATACATACATACATACATACATATAATTTTTCTATGGGTCAGGGTTTTTCATCCTTGGCAGTACTGATATTTTGGGTGAAACATTTCTTTGTTGTTTATGGCAAGATGGCAAGATGAAGCCCTACCTTGTACTTTATAAGAGATTCAGCATCCTAGGTATCTCTACCACTATAAACTTAGCACCCTCCTCCTTCCAGTTGTGACAATTAAAATTGTCTCCAGATAGTGGAGAATCTCTGTTATGGATGTTATTAAGCTTTGAGCTTGGATGTTGTGTGATCCCGGAATTCCAAGCAAATCTTTCAAGCATTGAGTTGTTCCATAGACTTAGTAGACTAAGGGGTGGGAGGATGGGAGAAAATACTCAAATCTAAATGAGAAATGAGAGACCCAATAGTTATTGTCTTCTATGTACTATGTACCCAACACTATGCTAACAACTTTATAAAATCTGCCTCATTTACTCCTGACTAAAGCTCTGCTTCTAAAATAATAGTAGCCAATTTTTATCATGAGCTTACAGTATGCCAGGCAGTGAAAATTACTAAATATTTTACACAAACTCATTCATTTAATTACAGCAGCAATTCCATGTATCTGCGCTATTACCTCCAATTTACAATAATGAAGCTGAGCTTAGAAAATTAAATAATTTTCCTAATGTCATATATTCACTAATTAGATCTGAATAAAGATTGAAGTCTCTACCCCGTCATTTTACCTCTTAGAGAAGAAAATATTAGAGCATCCTCTTAAGAAGTAAAGAGTTCTAAAAAAATTTGAATTTTATAAAATATATATCCTCGGATGTCATATTCTAGCGTACAGGTGAGAACCCATGCCATTCCATCATCTTCCAAAGGGTGCTCTGAATCAAGTAAAAGACCATGAGAAAAGAACAGCATATCTGTGACCCAGAGGGAAAGGTGCATTGTAATCAGAGAAAGTAGAATTAAACAGATAGATGCACTCCCTGAAGAGGGAGAAGACAACATGCCCAGAATTTGATATATAACATCCTCATAATTAGTACCTTAAATTTAGGGACTTTTGTTAAACATGTAATGAAACTGCCTATGGACCAGAGTGTCAAAAATGATTTTGTGACTAACAAAGTTTAGACTATACTCACTAAAAGTGAATTGTGGGACAGCTAAGAGTACATCTGTATGGAAATAGAAGGAACAATGTGCTCCCAAAGAGCTTAGACTGAGCATAAGAGCAACAAGAAGAGAGAAGACCATGGCCATGGACAAGGCCAGAGGAGATATCCAACTTACTGCCCACCTAATTTGAAACATCCTGGAACCCAGGAGCACGATGGTTTTGTCTCTTCTGGTTATTGACTAATCCCAAGGCTCTAGATGTTTCTATTACCTCAGTGGTTTTCCTAAGTCTTTGAGGATTCTTCTCTGCTCAAAATCAAGCAGAATTTCCATAACAAATATGGAAGTTCCAGGAAACACAGGAAAGGACAACCTCGTTCTGGAGGAAACTGTCTTGGCACTGAAGGAAACCACTATGTGTAGCAGAATGTGATTACTATTTTTCTTTCCTACCAAGCATTTCAAACAGCCCCACTTGCCATAATCAAGCAGACACTAGAAGTGCAAACTAAGCATGTCTAAACTAAATTTTATGGGATTCATTTTTGTTTTGTTTTTTTTTTAAGCAATGGTAAGGAGCAGGAAGATTCAAAAGGGAAAAAAATAACACCCTAATTCACCTTATAACCTGGTCCATCCATTTGTCCACCACAAATATTCAAAGAACTCCAAAGTTTTACACACACAAACACACATACACACACACACAAAATCTGCATACTAGAATAACTCAAGACTACCAGTTGGTGATGATTATTTTCTTTGAACATAGGAATTGTGTCTTTTTCTCTAGCATAGAAATAAAGCCTGGCACATCAAACATGCTTAATAAACATATCCACAATAGTAATTGTTTGAGTACAATACACATGGTTGCATCTGACTTTGAAACAAAGAATATTTACATTTCATATGACCGATGTTTTTATTTTTGCTTTAATGTTATAGTCATTTTGAAGCAGGATGCCCTGGCTACTAAAAAGTTCTGAGAGCAAATTTGGGACCCCCCCCCACTCCATAAAGGGTATAGATTTACTAAAAGCCTCATTCCTGGTCCCATTTCACCACTCCACTCCTTGTTTTGTGTTCTATTCCTATCTTTCCCTAATTATCTACCTTATATATGTTTACATTTTTGACACCTATGTCTAGCAAACAAGAGACACTCAATAAAAATTTATTGGATTTTATTAAACTTCTAACTCCTTACTAAAATAAGGGCACTTCCCCTTTATAAAACAACAAATGAAAAATAACCCTTCCACTGAGGTGATGCTGAGAATTGATAGCTCCCTTCTCTTTCGTGAGGAAAAGAGACAGACCAGTGAGATTATTCATCAAACACACTTTCCCATTGCCCCCACACCTCCTAAGTATTTTGGGGGTGAATGTCTGT